ATAAGCTAGAAAATCAGTATACAAGTCAGTTAGGCAAAATTCACAGTAACCCTCCCCTTCTTTTTCTTGTAAAACATCACTCATCATGACGAGGCAAGACAGGATGATATAAAGAGTCATGGTTGACAATCATTCACACCCTGTGTTTTGCTCCTGTGCAATTAGCTTATATGAAAATATAAGACACAGGAATGGGAATACTAACAATGAGGATAACTTCTACAGTCTTTGTGCTTCTCATCCAAACATTTCTCTGTTTGGCTTCAGATGGTACGGTAATCAACTATTTCTTGTATTTTTTGCTAAGGCTTTTACAGAGTATCGTGCGTCCTGCCTGTCTGTACTAAATGTAAGATTGTTGTGTCCTCCATCGTTTCCTGTATTTATGTTTTGTTTTGTTTTTACAATTCTACAATGAGTTATTTGTGATTTTATCATAAAAACTGTTCTTTAAGTAAACGTTCTGCAATTATAAATATAAAAATCAGTTGAAGTATGCAAGTATGATAAATGGATGAAGATTTTCTTTGTTTTTTTACATCTCCAACAGTACTGTTTTTCAATATTTTGTCTCTACAGATTCCCAATTTCAACTAATTAACAGGGCCACTGGTTTTTGTTTGGTAAAATTAAATAACCACTGCAATGACATTCGCTGGACATCTGGGGATCGACTTTTGGTTCAGAATAAGAATAAGTGCCTCGGTGTTCAGGGAAAAACTGTGGGCAGTGAAGTAAACCTGTATGATTGTGATGAAACCAGTGAGCTCCAAAAGTGGGAATGCAAGAATGAAACTGTGATCGCTCTCAAAGGCCAAGAACTTTACATTGACCTCACTGCCGATAACACAGCCGTGCTCTCAAATAAAGTTGGACCCAGTAGCCACCTTACAATCTCTGGGACTTCCAGCGGTGCTTGCACAAGAACATATACAGGTAAGTGAAATAAATAAAAAAACATTGTAAAGTAATTCATGATTACTTTTATGGAAATAATATTAGTGGCATAATAAATTTGTAGATATTCATATTTAGTTCCAAAATAGTTGTAATGCAAAGATAGTGTGTCAAATGATTACAAGATGTTGATAAATGATAAAAGTATCATTTTGCTTAAACTATTCAAGCTATTCTTTGTTCTTTTCTTATATGTTTTCCTTATTTTGGTCCTTCAGAACTTTACACCATTGAAGGAAATGGAGCTGGGAGGCCGTGCATGTTTCCTTTCTATTACGAAAGCAATTGGTATTCGGAGTGCACTGCAATTGACTCTCCAGAGAACCGTAAATGGTGTGCGGTTGAAACAAAATATGATCATGGTCTCTGGGGTTACTGCCCAACTAACTGTAAGTACACAACAAATTCTAATACAGGTTTTCAGAGTAATAATCTACTGCGTAAGCAGAACCACCCAAACTTTACATTTGTGTGAAATGTTGAGAAACACCATGTTAACATACAAGTTCAGTGCAATACTATAATACTTTGACTGTTTTTGTGTTACAGCCAAAGAAACCTGGAACAAAGACCCCACAACAGGAGCATCTTATCAGCTCAACACACAGTCTGCGCTGAACTGGGATCAGGCTGATGCCAGCTGCAAACAGCAGAGTGCCTCCCTGCTCAGTATCAGCAATCCTCATGAGCAGGCTTATATTTCAGGTAAGGAGACAAATCTCCACAGTACATTGAATATATTGAAAACAAAACAATTCATTTAAGCTGAGAGACACTGCTCCAGCTGATGATTATGTTTTGAGTATTACACTTGGTAACTTTTTGTTTTCTCTGTCTCTTTTGTCTGTTAAACTCTACTGACAGCACTATTAGGGGCAACTTGGGGACAGGATTACAAGCTCTGGGTTGGACTGATCTTCCAG